CTCTCTCTCTCTCTCTCTCTCTCTCTCTCTCTGGCATTCCACAAAGCCTTCCAAGAGTGGGAGATAAAGGGGTGGAGTGACAGTTAATCCCCTGGGAACTTGCACACAGACTGCAGCCTATCTTATCTGTGCCACAGCCCCTGGGAGTGCAGCAAGCAAACAAATACAACCTCTCCCAGTGCGGTATCAGGACAAGGCTGGGAGCCAGCGTGCTGATGGCTCTACAACTGTGGCATGGGGCCTGGCACCAAATATTTGCTTCTAGGAAGAGGCAGTGGAGCAGAGGAATCTTTCCAGGAGGAAAATGAAAGCTCTGGTTACAAACCTCTGAGTAATCTTCACCCTCGGGGTGCAAGTTGTGGCTTTCTCCCCCTAAGGAGACTGGATACCCCAAGCAGAAAGGGACAGAGACCTTGGAGGCCAGGCCCCTGCAGCTGGCCGATGGGGGTGGGGCCAAACGACAGGAAGTGACACAAGAGTCCTTGAAGTTCTCCCTGGGACTACTGGGCTGATCCAAAAGGCCTGAGGTGAGGGTAATTCCTAAGAGATGAGACATTCATGCTTGGATCATGCTGGGGGCTGGAGTCAACCTGACCCAAAGGTGCTTATCTTGGTCCAAGGCCATCTGTTGGGAAGGGAAGCTCCTTGCCACCAGGTTTTCCCATCATGCAGCTCACAGGCACTCGGGATCAACCAACAGGGTTTCATCCGGATGGTCCCTCCAGCTACCACCACCAACTCACTGCTGCTCCCCAGTTTCCCAGTTCCCCCTCATCACTGCAACCCCACTCTCAGCCCCCAAGCTGCGGGACCTATGCAACACAAGTCATCTTCATGCCCTTCTGCTGCCTAAGGAGGCCTCGTACCTGGAGACTACAGTCCAGCACTAGCCCTCCAGCACTGGGCCCAGCACAGAGCACCCCAGACAGGACTGCCCAACCCATTGGGCAGGGAGGGCTCACCTCCCTGCAGACACTGCCAACGTTCTGCATCTCGCTCCCATCCCAAGGACACTGTGAGGCCTTATCCCTTCTCAACCCCCGCCTGCCCTCTCCTGGTTTACCAGGTCCAAAAGGGGATGAGGAAGAAATCAAAGATAGGGATCAGCACTGCAAACTTCTGCCTCTGCTCTCTTCTCTACTTCACCTGTCCTTTGTCCAGGATTCCTCCCTTCCCCACACTGGGCACAGTGGCCCTTGACACAGCCAGAGTCCATCCAAAAAAGACCATGATTATTTATTTAAATCAGCAACTCATATTCCTCAAGCCCCAGATCGTGGTGGGCAGCCCTCCTCCTTCTGTCCCTTCAACCCCGTCCTGAGCCACAGCAAGGGGGATGGAAAATGAGAAACCAACAGGGTCTCTTGCCAGGGAAGGCTGCCCCAGATGTGTGGTGAATACAGCACAGCTGTGGCTGGAGTGGCAGTCGCCACAGGCCCCTCCCTATAAATTAAGTCCCTGCAGCCGCAGCTGCAGGACAGGCATACTTGTGGAAGGAAGATCAGTCCAACATCAGGCCAGAAGGCAGCATTTCTAACTCTAGGCCGAGGACCACTGAGAGCACAGAGCTCAGGGTCAGGAGAGGCCAAAGAGGACAGGCAGGGTAGGGAGTGGAAGGCCAAGACCTCCCAAATTTTGGTCCGAGGGGAAAAGTTGGTCCAGTTTTGATGGGTGTGGGGGAGGAATGTATTAGTAAGCACAGGGGGAGAGGCTCCATCAGGCACCCCCACAGGTGACAGGAGAGCTTGGGTCCCCACCCTGGCAGAGAGGAGCTTGAGAGCTCTGGGGGCTCTCAGGGAATGTCACTGCTAACACATATATAATATATATTAACCATTCATTGGGAGGGCGGGCAGGGCGGGCAGAATCAGAGGATCTGGCGTGGCATCCCATAGCCAGTCATGCCTGCCTGAGATGCCCCGCGGTTGGTTCCCATCTGTAACCCGATCACATTCTTGCCCTCTTGAAGCTGGTTGTCTGAGAAGTTCCGAGGGTTCTCCTTGGATTTCCTGGATGGGAAGGGAGCACTGGTTAGGAGGAGGTCAGAAGCCGCCCCAGTAAACCTCTTCCTTGGACAGAACACAGGCTCTACAATGGACTAAGGGCTGGCAGCAGCTCTGCCCTCAGCACCACACCTCATCTCTCCAAAGGGACAGTCACTAGCCACCCCAAGGGGATGTGAGGATTAAGTAAGATGAGTAACAAGAAAGTGCTTTGTAAGGAAACAGTTGCTACACAGACATCACTTACTTCCCAGGGATGGGACTGGGCAGGACTCCTGCCCCAGGGCCAGATGGCTGCCCCAGAAGTACTTACTTAGGAAACCAGTTGGGATCCCCAGAGAAGAGCCCATCGTCCCGGGCCACAGCCAGCCCACCCAGATTCATCAGTGTCCGCTGTACACAGGCCATGTTCTTTCCTGTTAGAAAAGGGCTATGTTGTCCTCAGCAGGTCTGAGATCCTGGGTGCCAGGGTGCCACCTCTAACACTCAGTCAGCAGCCTGGCATCCAAGCATTTTATTCTGTTCCATCCCAATTTGCAACATGGCCAACTCCTCCATGCAACACACACACACACACACACACACACACACACACACACACCCTTCTTTGCCTTCAGGAAGCCCAAAACCTATCCCTTCCCCCTGGTCAAGATGGCCCAGCCCATCTCTGGTCTCCTGGCTGACAGTCCCCCACCAGGCCCTGACCCTGGCTCACCTTCCCAGAGATCCACAGTTTGAAAGATGTCAGTGGTGTTGATGCCATAGCGCTCAGCTGCCTGAAGGAACTGAGAGATCTGCTCCATCTGCTTGAAGGCCATGGTGGAGGCCTGGATCTTCTTCACTGGGGCCTGCCCCTCGGGGTACAGCCCATTGATGAGCTCACACAGCACCTGGGTGAGGACAGCAATGGAGCAAGGTGAGGACGTGGCTACTGCAGATCGGCATTAGGACCCTCAGCGCCAGGCAGAGGGACTTGAAGAGGTTCTTTCTTCTGGGTGAGCCTCAAGAACCCTCTGGCTCAGCACCCTGACCAGTGTCCAGTCTTCCCTCGCTATTCCAGTATCCCTGTTTAGAAGTATTATTCTTTGTTATACCTGGGACCTTCCCTGGGTGTCTGTCACCCTGGTTCAGGGGACACATTCACCCTCACCTTCCCTCAAAGGAGAGAAGTATGAGGCCTCTCCCATCCTTGATAAAAGATACTCGGGCCGAGGCAGAGGCTGGGCCCACATGCTCTCCCCTTCTTCAGGCTGAACAATTCCTGGTTCCCTGGTCCGCACACTGCCCTTCCTGCCCTTCCAGTGCAGAGGGGGCCCAGCTCTCACCGTGCCATCCTTGAGCCAGTTCTGGAAGTTCTCACGCCCAGGCTGGGGCCGGCCCACATCCTTGCGGCACTGGGTGGTGATCCACTGGATCAGGATCTGCTCCAGGTCGGCGTCATACTGTTTCTCAATCTTCTGTTGTACCTCCCGGCTCAGGCCATATGCAGGTCCCCTGTTGGCCATTCTGAACGCCTGTGGTGGCTATGGGGAGCTGTGCAAAGGACAGAAGCAGGCCTGTGGTCAACACTCTGCAGCCCATGTGGTATGAAGCCTGTGGAGACACACCACATCCTCCAGCGTGGGGCCCAGGGGTGGGAAGCAGAAATGTCACAAGATGAAGGAGTTTTCACCTGACCCTCAGGCCTGGACTAACTCAGCACTGCCCAGGTCTCTGGGTTCTCCCACCCTGTGATGAGTAGTCTGCCTTTTATCTTGAGGGTCTCCACTAAGTTACATTTCAACAAATGGCTGTACTACTAGAGCGAAGCATAAAACCCACTGAAATGGAACATGAGATAAGTGATTGACTGGGGTTCTGCTCTTTATGTGGGATGATCAGCTTTGAAAAAAGCAAACTGGTCATTCTGGCCCCAACAGTGCTCCTTACAGCCCTGGAAAGAGAATGCATGATTCAGGGAGTGAAGGAAAAATTCTGAGCCACTTGCAAAACCTATGCCAGGTCTTGAAGACTGAATGGATCTATGCTTGATCAACCATTGGGTTTTAACTAAGCACCTATTATTTGTGCTAACGATTGCAGAAGAGACGGAGGTTCTAGTTCCCTAAGGTGCCCATAGCGCTCTTGGTGAAACAAAGTGAGTACACAAGATGGAAGGACTGCACACATGAAATCTTACACCCATTGTTCAGGTCACATGTATAGGGATTAACAAAAGAGGAAGGGCAGAAGAAATCTGGGCAGGCTTGCTGGCAGAGGCAGTCCTGGGTGGGCCCTTACCAGACTTCTTTAGCAGGCAAAAGGAATTTCTCATGAGAAACCAGGCAATCAAAACAAATTCCCCTTTCCCTTTTAGAGGTGTGGCAGGCAAAATAATACCCCCACCCCAAAGGTGTCCATGTTCTAATTCTCAGAACCTGTGAGTATAACTTCCCTTACAGGCCAAAAGTGACTTTGCAAGTGGGATTAAAATTAGGGGTCTTGAGCAGGGATGATGATCCTGGATTTTCCAGGTGAGCCCAATGTAATCACAAGGGTCCTTACCAAGTAAAGGGGAGGCAGGCGGGTTAAGAATGGGAGAAGTGACAAAAAAGTAAACAGCCACAAATGAAGAGTCAAGGGGGTGTCTTGAACCAAGCAATACAGGTAGCCTCTAGAAGCCAGAAAAGGCAAGAAAACATATTCTATGCAACTCAGCTGCAAAAGGAACCTGCAGACACCTGGACTTTAGCCAGTGAGACCCTACTGTGGTCTCTAGACCTCTACGACACTATGTGGGTGTTGCTAAGTCTAGAATTTATTACAGTAGTATAGGAAACTAATTCCAGAGCCTTGGGTGTATTTTCCAGGAAATCTGGAAGAGAGAAAAGGAGGGGAAGTACACAGGAGAGTTTCTGTAACTCCGAGGTTTGAAGACCTTGGTTAGCAAGAACTGGGTGGTTTCTGACTGTGGCCTGAGCAGCAGCGCCTCACCATGGCGATGAGCCCCACCCACCACCTTACCAGAAGCTCCCATACTTGCTGAGCAAGTCCTAGGGTGCTGCTGATGCCAAAGGGGCCAGGAACAGAGAAGGGACACAGTCCCCCATTTCCTGTCCTCACCCCCACCACGGGATCTTCTCTCCGCTCAGAAATAAAGGTTGGCTGTCTAGTTGTTCACCAAAGTGGATCCCCAGGACAGGCATCTGCATTCAAGGGAGGGAAGGGAGCCACCCCTTCAACCCACACCTGGCTCCAGGCCAGATCAGACTTAAGGGATGAAGTCATTCTGGCTCCCGCTAGCAAGCACCCAGATTAAACATACCTGCCACCCCCTCAGTGGGCTGGTGCTCAGCCCAAATAGTCAGGCCCCTTGCCCCTCTCAGCCCCAGCTGTTGTGCCTCTGGTTAGTCCCCTCCTCCCTTGCTCCAACACAGCTCCTCCTCTCTAATGTAGCTTATCGAGCTGCACATTTCCTGCAGACATCTTCCCCATAAATCAGTTATTTTTAAACCTCATTACGAACCCCCCCCACCCACACTTTCCCCCAGCATGAAAGCCAGGCCAGATAAATGTCAGTCTGGGTCCTGACCCACACACCAGCCACACCAATCTGCTGGGGGGACAGGCGGGTGGAGAGGCTGAGGAAAAAGGGAGGCAGGCTACCCCACTTCCCCAGGCCCAGCTGCTCAGCCGCCGCTCAGTCTACGCAAGCCTGTAACCTCTGACCACAGCGGAATGGCCGGAAGCCTGGGTAGGAAGAGGGGCTAAGGCTGCTATCATCAGCAAGCCCCCCTTTCCCAGTCTATTTTCAGGCTCCTCTGGGACAGCTCTGCTATAGCCACCTGGACCTCAAGGCAGTTTCCAGGGAGCCAGAGGCCCAGGAGTCACCACGGCACAGGTAAAGAAAAGGCAGAAGACGATTAACAGACACCAGGATTAAGAAGTGGGGAAGAAGGGCCTAAAGTCAGGTCTGTCCAGTGTGTCATCGTCCCCACCCGCCCAGACCCACCTGGGATGGATGCTGAGGGCCCCTCCCCCAGGGACTCTGCGGTCAGGGCAGAGTTGGCAGGGTCATACCTCCAGCTGTAGCGTCTCTATTTCACTCTGGGGCCACTGCTCTAGAGCCCTGAGGTCCAGAACCTCAGGGTGGGGTTCTGGGAGGGGCAGGCCAGTGGGCTGCAGCAGCTGTCTCTCCTCCTTAACCCCCTCCAGACAGGCAGCTGCTGATGGACTTTGGCTGTTACCGTTGGAGAAGCCCATCCAGGTGACCTTCCCCTGCCCTTCCCCAAACAAAGGGGAAACAGCCAGCCTCCTACAGGACAGGCAAAAAGAGGTGTGCCCGGCTCAAGACAGGTGAGGAGACAATGCAGGGGGGATCCCAAGGGACGCCAACAGCTGAACAACTGGTGGAGTGGGCTGGCACAGTAACCTGAACTCTAGAGCTGACCACGGTGAGAACGACTCCACCCCCACCCACGAGGTGATACTAGTTGAGAAAGGAGGGGGGCCTAGGAAAAGCGCTGCGGCCCTCTGCCCCACCCCAGACCCTGGGCTGAGCAACTCCACGTGGATGCGGGAGAAAAGGGGAACGCCCAGCGTCTGTCGGGGGATGGAGGGGACTCTCCATTCACGGTGCAGACGGGACACAGGGATTTGGGGCTGGGACTAGGGAAGGGCAGCACAAAGAGCAGGCAGAAGCATGGACAGCAGAGCTGTGGGTAAGGGGTGGCCTTAGGGCAGAAGCCCCCTCCCCACAGGGGATATCCCCTCACCACCAAGAGTCCTGATCAGAAGAGCAAACTGAAGTTACACAAACAGGAAGCCACCAGGCTAGCTTGGGAGGAGGGGAGGTGGGGGGAGCCGTTGCCATGACTTCTGTGTACCAAACACAGGAATGGAGGCAGGGTGGGGGCACCAGGCAGAGACACCAGGGCCACACGCCCTTCCCCATCCCCCAGGAGGCTCTGAGTACGGGCACAAGTGGGGTCCTCACAGCAATCCTTGGGGTGATCCAGGGACAGGAGACCCTGGAGGAAGCAGCCATGGGGTGGAGGTTTGAAGAGCAAGTGGAGGATGAGGGTAGTCACCGATTTGGGCTTGGAGAAGCTGACGCAAGGAAGTAGTTCAGATGAAATGCACCCTAAGACAAGGTGTATTCTGAGCTACAGACCCCACACCTGGAATTCCTGGAGGGTGAAGGGATGGAGTACGGAAGGATTAGAGGCCGACCCCAGAGGGCAAGGCCATGGGTGTGGGAAAGGAGATCCAGTGGACAAAGAAAGGCTGCTGCTCCCACAAGGGTCGTGCCTGGCCCGCCCACTCTACCTCCACCTACCCCGCTGTTTTGAGGTGGCCCTGTGGAGTAGGGAGACTGGGAAGGGAGTGGCGGTCCGGTGCTCTCCCCGAAAACGGAGGGTACTGAGTCCCAAAAAATATAATAAAGCCCCCCCACACCAGAAGGTTCCCCTTCCCATACGCATCTCCACATGCCACCTCCACAGACACCTAATGTCCCCGGACCTCTCTGGTACCGGGTTCTGGAGACCCAAAGCCAGGAAGGCGGCATTGCGCTTCCGGCCCTGCAGGTCCAGCCCCGGC